AGCCCACACCATTTTTACTAAGCTTCTGTTCATCAGTGTGGCAGGATGAAGGTTCTGCCTTACAGCTGGAATCCCTGGTGGACCTCAGAGTCAGATCCCAGAGGCCTGGGAGAACATCTTCCCCCTCCAGAGTGCAGACTCACATGTGACCAGTGACACACTGACATAAGTGTCCTTTCAACTTGGAAAACCAGCGCACTCAACGCCCTTGTTCAGGTCATACCACTTTGGACCATGACTGGTGGAGCCTTGGTCTTGGTGGAAGCTGTCTTCCCCATCCCATCTGTGCGGCCAGTATCTGCAAATGTCCTGCTCTTCTCCATCCGTCCCACCCTGCCCCCCAGACTCTGTATTCATCCTCATCAGGTGTCTCCTGTTAAAAACAGCCGCCGCATATTTAAACTATTTTCAGCTGTCTGTAGCCCTTTAACCCTTTGTCTGCTAGAATTCCACAAAAAATAATTGATGACTGATTGGCCCATTAACCTTTAAGGGAAAAAAAAGTTTGACAGCCCAGACTTGTGTAATGAGGAGGGATTCTCTGTGAAGTCAATCTGATGGCTGAGATGCTCGCCCCTGAGGAGGCAAAATTAGCCCCCCGGGGCCTCGTCTGCATAGAAACTGGACACAATTAGTGCGATATCCGGTGTTATTAATGTCATTGGGAATAATTGGGTAGGTTGGTTTCGACAGGTTCATGGCTCTAAAATACTATTATAGTGGACCTTTCCACAGCCAACCGTTAAACACAGAAAACTGTTCAAGTCCCCTGGAGCCCAATCACCATTTCAGTGAGCTGGGGACCAGAATGTACAGAGCCTGGAGCTTCAGGCTAAGGTGAGGTGGCCTTTGGACTTCTCCTTTGGGGTGGGAAATAACTTAGTGCTTGTGTGGATGTCTCGAACTAAGAACATGCTTCTAACACATATCCCAACTGGGTCTTCTATAGTCCGAGACTCTCTTTAAAGTGAACTCTGCATAAGCCACTATACTTGTCATTAGTAGTGGCTTTGTATCTGCAAAGGACACCAGAGATAAAACACCAAAATGGGCCCTTCTGACTATCCAAGCATCTGTCATTTGGGGATGAGGTGGTGGCAGTGGGGGAGGCACCTGTCATCTCACTCCTTGGGAGACAGAGGCAAGGCAGGATCTTGAATCTGAGGCTTGGTATCAAAAGGCCAATAAATAAATAGAGGACAGTATTACTCAGCTCTCTCTGACTGATCAGTCCCACACTGCCAATTGTGCTTACAATCATTTTTAAAGCTGGTTGCTAAAAAAAAAAAAAAAAAACCTAGTATCAACTGTCAGTTTATAAAGTAAACAGCTTTCTGGCCACTGGGGAATTGACTGGCACTGTGTCATCTGGTGAAATGTCTGAGCACGTTCCATTGGGCCATCTGCTTTCTCAGTCACCGCCACACTGAATAAGTCTGAGCATGGATCAAGTCTGGAGGCCTCTGGGGTGCCACCAGTAAGCATTGACTGTTGCCTGGTAGGACCCGCCAGTACCTGTCCACTGGCTTCATCAGTACCTGTTCCAAGTGACAGAAGCCTTTGTAAAGTGCAGAAGGCTGTAAAGACAGTAAGACATCCCACGTAACCAGCTGTGGGGAGGAAGGTATGGCCAGCTGGCTGCAGGAACACCTAGGCGCGGGTCCTGCAAGCTGTTGGTCTTCCTGGCACCTGTTTACTGCAGTGTGCTGGTGGCAGTTAGTGACCTCTACCTGAGGACAGGGCAGGACCACACCCCTTGGGTACAGAGTGTGCCTAGGCTTTGTGGGTTAACATCTGTCATGTTCTGGAATGAATCATGTGCTACATCAAGACTCAGAAAGTTTTGGGTTTCAAAACATTTTTGCTCTTGAGTTTTCAGATTGCTTCTTGTACCCACAGAGTACATTGTCTCGGAGCTTCACTGTCTTCCCCCAAATTCCTCTTTTTCAAAATGGATGAGTAGACTTTACTCGAGACCCCTATAAAAACATGGGCCAGGTGACAGGTCCAGGCTTGTGAGGCGGTCATGCAACCCACTCCCAGCCTTCAGAACAGGAAGTGCGCTCCATGGGAGCATCCAGTGGGTCACGGCGCCGTGTGCCCTGTCTGGCCTCCCTTTTACTCTCCCAGCTGTATTCCTTCTCCAGTCCAAGTGGGGGATTCTGCGTGGATGAGCATTCGGGAGACGGAAACGGTACCTAGGCCGTGCCAGCTGTTCCAGAGAAACGGGGTTGAAGGGAGAGAAGACTGAACAGAGCCATGGCCTGACTGGGTGCTCATTACCAGGCTTGGAAGTAAGGTGTCAGAGCAGTGTTCCTGAGGGAGAGTGCAGGGAAGGACAGAGCACAGGAGTGCCAGAGTGTGTGGTGACACTCTGTATGGAATGGGGTTGAAAGGTGTCTGTCGGTGGAGTGTACGTCCTGTGTGGTGGTCAACACATTTAGAGAGAGACTGGGAGCTTGGAGTAGAGTGAGGAGATCCTTACAAAATCTAAATCCCCAAGAAGATACAATAGGTAGCCATAAAGAAGCAGAGAGGTGCAACAGAGGGAAATCTGTGTCCACTGGAAGGAAGAGTGACAGTGTGGTGCAGTGGGTTCTGCTGGGCATGATGGGATCCTGGGGCTCCTATGAACTCTGCCCCTTTGGGTACCTTACAGAGGCACATGGCTCCTAGGACATGGCAGAACCAGAGTGCAGCTCAGCACTCCATCTGAATGTTACCCAAGCTGGAATCAGAACAGGCAGACTCCTCGGAGCACTTGGCCTGGATGCTCAGCCATCACCTGAGTGTGCCTGTCCCATCAGAGTAGGGTCCTTCAGAGATCAGGCTCTGACTCCCCTGATATCCAAGGCATGCAGCGGGTAGCTGAGAGCCCTGGGACCACGCCTGTACCTCAGTCAAGCCAGTTAAGCCCTTTGCCCTCCAGCTCACACTGCAGCTGATGATGCCGACTAGAAGCATGGGCAGAAATCCTCCGAGGGAGAGCAGTGTACAGAGATCTGAACTGGGAGGCCCACAGTCAGCATTTCTCCCCTGGATGTGCAGTAAATCCCGACCAGAGGGAACAGTCCTACCACACTTGAATTTCACAAATGCAAGGTGATGTAAGGCTATGTACAGATGTCTTCATGAACTATACTCAACATCCTTCCATGAATGACCAAGGGTCCCTTTTGTCTACCCATGAATTATATAGCTTGTCCCTGCCCTACCTGTCCCTCCACTAGGAGTTTTAGTCCTGAATCGGGGTGCTGTCTTATCCACCCCTGTATGGTAAAAGTTGTAACGAACGAACAATATCATGACATGGACACACATGGATCAAGAGAACGCATCTTTTCAAGCACACAGATGCCAAAGCATTGCTGGTAATTACAGGGTGTGGCTGCAGGTTAGCTTCAGAGAAACCTGTCTGTCTGAAGTTACTGTGTAGTCTTTTTTTTTTTTTTCTTGTTTAATGGAAACACTACTAGTCCCCATGTCTAGAGGCCTAGGGCTTCCTCTTCAGCCGTTCTTCACACAGTACATGGACTTGTTCCATTCCACACAGACATGGGCCTCGTTTGTTCTCCAAGCTCCAAGACAACAGAGTGCCATTCGTGCCAGGCCCTGCCCTTTGAATTCTTATTACTCAGGCTCCAAATCCAAGAACCAGAGAACACACATGGCCAGTGCTAAGCAAGCTGGGTTCTCTGGGAGAAGCTAGAGGGTTTACACAGAGAGGCGTGCTTACCCATCTTCCAGGTGGCGTTCAGACTGAGCAGGGTGAAGGCCTGCTCATCTGTTTAAAAGTTGCTTACATTATAATCTTCAGAACACAAAAGACTCCACACAAGTGTGACACACGGTGTACCATAGTGATCTATGGTGGTGGTGGTGGTGGTGGTGGTAGTGGAAGTGTTACGTTGAGAACGTCAATGAGTGCCACATTCCTAAGCAGTGTCCAGTTCTAGAAGTGGGGCTTGATGTCATCCATGAGATCAGGAGCCAGGAAGGGGGTCTGTGGGGACAAGAGAGTCATCATGCTCTTGTCTGTGCAAGGTGGGGGGTGGGGGGTGGAAGTGGAGGATGACTTAATTGATAAGCCAGTCTGCAGGTTACTCTTTCATTGTCTCTACACTGACCATAAAGCCAGTGTTAGGCCAGTGCTAGAAACTCTTTGTCTGCTGAGGCCTGTTTAGGGTCCAGCCTTGGCTTCTGGCTGTATTTTCCTGAGCAGTCTCAGCTCTGATCAGTGCTGGGAAATAAGGACTGAGTACACACAGTCTCCTGTGGCCGGGCTGTGAGCTTGTGTGCTCATACACGTTATTTAGCTTGTGATAAATTCCGTTAGAAGCTTTCTGTGCCCAGTCTACAGGGGAGGAAAATGAGCAGTGGAACTTACCTAAAGATAGAGGGGCAGGTGGTATCACAGGATCTGGACACAGCTTCTCTTCCCCTTTCATAGAAGATGTCTCTCTGTGGCCACCCAGCCAGACCTGTGTCCACTAAAGCCCTCTGAGTTGCCTGGATTCACTTTGTCCACATCTTAGTACAGTGAGAATTAACACTCCCACTGATAGTTGCCCGGCCCTGGATGGACAACCACCTTAGTGTTCCTAGCTCACCTGGATCCAGACCCAACTGCTTTCTTAGTCTGGTTTCATATCTAGCAGAACTAACTTCATTTTCCTCCTGCAGACCCACGGGCCAGCAGTAACTTGCAAACTTACTTTCCTAAGTTGCTTGGTCTGCACCCACACAGAGATCCTGACATTCCACGCTGTCTCTCCTTTCTCCCCATCCCCCAAGCATTGACTGAAACCTAGTTATCTCTGCTGGCCTTTGGAAGCTGGTCTTGACTGTTGGCGGGTGTGTGGATCAGATCTCAGCGCTCCCATCCCGTGTGTGCCGCCAGCCCCATGCCGGTGCTGTTGAATCCAGAGGCACTGGTGACAGGATGAGCTAGGGCACTGCTGTCATGAAAGTGAGCTCTTCATCCCACCTCTGTGTTCCAGAGCAAGAAGAAAACTTGGAGTTTATCATTGTGTCCCTCACTGGCCAGACATGGCACTTTGAAGCCACCACATACGAGGAGCGAGACGCCTGGGTCCAAGCCATCGAGAGCCAGATTCTAGCCAGCCTACAGTCCTGTGAGAGCAGCAAGAATAAGGTAAGGTCCACAGCAGGCTGCCCCAAATCAAGGCTGCTGATCATTAAAGGGAAAAGAAGGCCCACGTGGAGCCCCAGGGGGGGACAGAGGCGTCAGATGGCTTGCGTGGATGACAAGACCCAGGTATGCTTTGTGAGGGGAAAAAACCTAAGTAATTGAAAAGATAAAACCACTTTGTATCTACAAACACCGTACATGTTTGGTGTCCTGGCTTGGCCGTCTGCGTGTGGCAGGGTGTCCAACATGAAGCTTTTGCTGTGGCAGCCAGCGCCATGTGGGAAGCTCTCGCCTTTCTCCGTGGGCGATGGAGCCTTTGGACTCTGGCTGCTTATGCGCCCATACTTATTTTTTTGTTGTTATTGTTTGAGGCAGAATAAATCAGAAAAAGAGACATAGACTTAAAAGATGCCCTATGCTGCCCTCATAAATGTCTCCAATGTCACAGGGATACAAACGCAGAGGAGATGGTGGGGAGTTTGGGCAAGGTGAATTTTCTGTTTTTTTAAAGTATGTTTCATTCAGTAATTAAAAAGAGTCCTCCAGCAGTTGTTTGGCCAGAAATAAAAGCGTGTTCACTGCATTTTCTGGGCCGCTGCTCGGCGATCTTCCTTGTACTGGCCCTGTCTTTCCCAGCCGGGTTCTTTCCATTTCAGTCTTTGAACCCTTAGATAGTCAGGGCCCTTTGCTGACCCATTGAGATTCTTAGTGAGCATTTTGATTTTTCAAACTGCGATCGACTGGAAACCAAAGAAAGACATTGGCATTCACCTGCAGTTTCATTTATAAGCATTTAAAGAAACCTCTGCACATGATGTATGGCCAGCTTTGTCATTAAGAAGGGAGTCTGTTTTTCAGAGAGACTGGGTGTGTTATTTTATTACCCTCTTGAGCCAGGGTAAGGCAGACCACAGCCATTATTAGCATTATGTAATTTGCTTCTCTCTTAGAAGATAGTTTATACCCTACTGCAAAGAACCACGGTCTTTATTCTTAGCTCCCTAGATTCCCAGGTCATGTCCCCATCCAACCACCATGTGTCTCCTCTCTTTACCAGTGGGCACAATGACACCTGCCATCCACAGGCTTGGAACTCAACCTTCAGAGCAAGGAAGGGGACATACACTGCTGATCAGACAAGCACATCCCAGGTTGAACGGACAAATTAATTTCACATATTCTGACTGAAGACATACCCCTTTCTCTTTGGTTCTGACTAGTGCTGGCTTCTCCCATTTTACTTCCTCGAGAGCCTCTTTCCAGCTTGCTACTCTGCACCCAGACAATAAGATGTCTTGGACCAGAGACAGATTCAAGCCTTTGAACCCATGGGCAAGCATACTTGTAGAAATGACTTCCCCTGGAAGGAGACCCTATGAGCAACCTGAGGACACCAGGTGTGCACCTGAGTAGCTGCTGGTGAGACTGTGAGAGGATAAAATGGGATATAGTTTCCCACCACCACAGATGACTGAGAAAAGTCCAGACTCCATCAGAGAGAGCAGTACCCAGAATTTCAGCTCCGGGTAGATAATCCAAATCTGACCCAGATAGAGAAGCTAACCAGTGAGTCACAGAATTGTACTGGTTTATAGAGAAAGAAACAGACAGATAGGCAGACCCCTCTGTATACATGTGTGTGAGACCTCAAAGTCTTGTTGTTAAAAAATGCTTTCTGATACCAAAAGGAAATAAAAACACAGTAATCCATGAGGCTGATTAAACAATAGCAGCAAACAGATAACTTATTATTAAGTAGCAAGTGATAATTTGTTTCACATCCACCTATTTAGCACAAGTTACCTTAATTTGTAAAGAATTTGTACACAAACAGAATTTATTCTAAGTTCTGAAGCTGATCAGCTTTGCTTTAACTATAATTTCAAATGCATATCGAATAAACGAAGTTTTAAAAATACGCATATTATTGCCCACCCTGCCCCTTTGCTTCCAAGCTTTCTTCCTCACTGCCTTGCATAATTGGGAATGTGTGTAGATGTTTACAGGTAGCATTTCTTCACAGCACTGTCCCGGGTCTAGGACAGTTAGAACAGTGCAAACATAGAGTCAAGGAGTTTGCTGTACCCTCACTAAGTAGACTCATACGCATGCACTCAGTGATGAAGTCGGAGGCTCTGTTGGCATTGAGTGACAGACAGAATTACTAGGCTGAAAAGGCAGTGTATACCCATTGGGCTTTCCTACGGTGCCTGAGTATACAGATGCTCAGAGATAAATGCCGGATCAGTGACTCTCAAATTTCCTAACATTGTGGTCCTTGAATACAGTTCCCCATGTGGTGACCCCAACCACAGAGTCATTTCATCACCACTTCAGAACTAATTTTGCTACTGTTATGAGTCATAATGTAAACATCCGATATGCAGGATAACTGATACGTGATCTCAGTGACCCCACCAACAGGGTCACAACCTACAAGTTGAGAACCTCTGAGCCATGTACTCTCTGGATAATCAATCCTAGTTTATAAATGATCGTGTCTTTCCCCATATTTTCTAATTTTGCCGCAACAGGTGAGCCTTTTTAAAAAAAAAAAAATATCTCTTCTGAAGACCATCAAGTATGCTTCAGAATAAATGCCCCTGCCTTACTGCAGTGAGTGACTTGGATTTGATGCTGTAGCAACTGAGAGACCCTCACGAGGAGAGCTCTCCGGGTTGTGGTGTGTGGCTTATTCAGGGGTTTCCTGATGAAGAACCAGGCATGCTGATTAAGGCCTGACCCTTGGCTGATACACAGACTTTTTTTCTTGTTCTTTTATTTTCATACCAAGGAGAAGGTATATGCCCTTGAAGGTTTGTTAGCCAGTGACATTCTCTGCGTAGCAGTCTCCGGTTCATTCACAAATGATGGAGGTCTGACCACTTTGCTCATTTTGGGCAGAGTCCATCTCAGCCAATAATCCTGACGTATGACCTGTCTCTCACTCACAGACTTCTCTCAGATACCAGAAAAGGAGTAATTGGAAATCGCACACTGCTGCACCTGTGTATAATCTATTTGGTGTTTTTATATATATATAGTTAGTTAGTTAGTTAGTTAGTTAGTTAGTTAGTTAGTTAGATGATGTGTGGATTTCTCCTGACTGTTCATATCTTGCATTTTCTGCCTTCCTTTGTGCCTAGTCCCGACTAACCAGCCAGAGTGAAGCTATGGCCCTGCAGTCCATCCGTAACATGAGAGGGAACTCACACTGCGTGGACTGTGACACCCAAAGTAAGTACACAGGATGATGGTGGCCCTGGATCTTTATTAGGTATAGCAGGGAGGGCTCATGGCATTGAGGGCTTGGCGTATTTCAGTTTGGGTTTTATCTTAACATAGTATCCTTTACATGGCTTCCCTGGTAGAATAGGCTATTTTTTGTATACTGGACTGCTCTGTGCTCTGCTTCAGCCTCAGGCATCACAATGGGCAAAGGACCAAAACAGTGAGTGATGACTGCATCCCTTGGAGTTAGCCCAGTTTTATGTCACACTTTCTGTTTCCTCCTTACATCCTAGGGTGTAGAGCCTTGCTTTTGTTCTAAGTCTACACCCTCAGAAGCTAGGTAAACTTTGCCCATATATTGAGGGCTTGAAGATGGGGAAGTATAGTTCAAACTTGGTAAAAGATGCTGGTTCCTTTGAGGGATGTCTGGGAACTGAGTACATCTGTTATTGGTCATGACATCAGTGGCCCAGTGGTAAAGGCATAAGCCCACACAGCACAGTCTAGAGCCTTGGAGAAGGAGCGAAGGGCACCTCAGACCTGGGACTTTCCACCTCAGAGGGAGCTTCCTGCCCGAGTTGGCTTGTCAGTGGGGGATGAGGAAGTGATGTGACTGGAGGCTGCAGCCCCACAGAGGCCTCCCTAGGTGAGCAGAAAGAAGGAGTGGCAACTCAGGCTGGAAATGGGAGTTGATGCAGATACTCGGGTGCCACTAGGAGAGATGGTGAGGTCTTTATGCATTCATAGTCAGGAGTGAACTGTCCACATTTCACAGCAGGAGCAGGACTCTAAGCTGGTTTATGGGGGAGGCTGCCTGACCGCACCAGCTCACTGTATGAGAATAGAACAGTAGGGTGAGTTGGAGACCTGCGGGTGGATTGTGAGGATCTCCTCAGGAGACAGCGAGGCACTAGGCCAGGCCTGCTCCAGACGAAAGGGAAGAGCTGAGCTTCCCCCAGGGACCCGGCCAGCCAGTTGTCCACATGGCCTGGCTGACCACAGCCCAGCAGGAGCCCATCCTCAGGGCAGGAAGGGCATCTTCCTCAGGCTCCTTTGGATACTGCTTTAAAGTGTCTCTTTTTGTTTGAGTTTTTAAATTTTACTTTCAAAACGTGAGTTGGAAAGAGAAGAACATTTATTTGAAGTATGTTTTTATCCAAAACTTTCCTTAAACCAGACTCTTTTTTAAGCGTAAAACCTGAGTCACATAGGAAAAAAAAAAATCCAATCCAGAGATTGATGTCTGTAATTGTTTCCAGCATGCGTTTAAGGATTCCTCATAAAAGAAGCCATCCTGTGGCTTTACAGGAGCTGTAGTGTGTGGCAAATTGAAGGTCACAGGTCTTTCCTGAAAGGGGATGGGCGTACACATGCTCAGGCTGGGCAGGAAGGAGAGGCCATGGGGCCCAGACTGTAGACAAGGCCACATGAGCAGAGGGGACAGAGATGATAAAGGCAGGGCTGGAAGCTTCAGGAAAAGAGGTTCAAGACCATTCACCAAGTCTGCTGTGTCCAGCCCACAAGTGTTGTCTTCGAGTTCTCAAGAGTGATAGTTGGTATTGTCATGGGCCCTTTGATAGGTAAGGGGGAGAAGAGCCCAGGGTCTTAGCAGTCCATCCAGTAGGAAACAGGACTGTTCCAGTCAGCCCACACCCTTCCCAGTCCTCTCGCTTCCCTCAGAAGCCTTCAGATAGATACCTAGAGGTCTGATGTGACATGCGTGAGCAGTCAGGGAAGAGTTTTAAGTATAAATACCCAGTTTTGGTGCACATGCCAGGAGACACACAAGCATTGTGACGAGAGCATGTCCTCAGGGGATGGAGGCAATGTGGTAAGTACCTGTGAAGGGCATGTGTCTTTGATTTAGCAGTGCCCATAGGAAGAAGCCCATCAGGAAGGGCAAGAAAGGAGCAAACACCAGCTTTAAAGACGTCCTTCTCCACTGACTATGAACTGAAATCAGAGCCACTCACATCTAAAGACTCAGGAAAGGTACAGGTGGTGTCAGTTGGTGGTGTAACAGACATTGTGACTCTGGGAAAAGCCCACTTAGAGGGTCACACTGACCCACCATTCACGCGTGTCACCCTCCTGGGTTAAGGATATGGCCTGAGGACTGTAGTGCAACGTGGGATCTGAAGCTACAATTACTGCAGATCACCAAGCATCTCCTCTATTTTGCACACATAATCTGTCCCAGTGGGGGCACTGGTCTACCTTAGTTGTGGGCTGCTTGTCTATAAGGAGAAATTCTGGTCCAGTGAATTTGGAAAAGTTAATGGTATCCACCCCTCAGAGAATGGCCCATCACTGTCTCTGAGAATTTTGCCCTAGATGGAACTTACAACCTGGCCCAGCCAATTTCTGTCCAGTATCCACTGACAGTGGAAGTCTGTGTTGGGGGTACTAGTTGCCAGTATGTTCACAGAGGGACCTGGGAATCCCAGAGCTTGAAGAATCCTACACACATATGGTCCTTACCAGTGTGCCAGACCTTCCAGAACAAAACTTGAGAGGCAGCCCAGCCGCTGACTCCTGGTCCATGAAACTCTGTCATTGCTAGTGCTGTCCAGATGCTCAGGCTAGAGCCTGATCAGTTCCTAGTAGATCTTGCCTCACCCACCAGCCCTAGAAGATCTTGTGATGATGTCATCCAGTTTCTACCACCACTCAGTCCCTTAGATATGGGCTCTTCTATGGTGGGGCTGTTCTGTATTTTTCTAGATATGGTGTGTTGTCATAGTCTCTAATGGAAGAATAGGCACCCCAAGCTCTGCCCAAAGCAGAGCATGGGGTCTGTGATGTGTGTAGAAGGTAACCAAGAAAAGTATCCAAGGGAAGGTAATTCTAGCTGAGCCCAAAGGGCAAGCAGCATGCCAGCCAGAGCTGGAAGTGTTGTGCTCGGGTGGTTGGAGACACTGAGGGTCTTGCATGAGATAGGAAAGGGGTGGGGCTCAGTTCTGAATCTGACTTTGGACTTGATCCCAGGGTTAGGTATTAGCCACAACAGATTTTGAGTCTCAGTGTTACATGATTGGGTCTGCCACATTTCATGGCTGCTGTCACGAGGTGGCCTGCAGGGGTCAGACTGTTAACATATGGACACAAGCTTGCTACAATCCTACCACGGTGTGTAGAAGTAAAAGGACAGGAGTGGAGGCTCAGCTCAAGAAGACAGTGTTGAACCTGAGAAAGTTTCTGTGGGGACGATGGAAGCATGTATGTACTCCCCAGATCCTGGAAGAACATTGGTGTGGTTGGGAGAGGTAGAAAGACAGAAAAATCCCTCCTCAGGGCAAGCTGAGGGTAGGGAGGTCTGTGAGGGAGGGAGAGGGAGGTAAGAGCCATTAAAAGTTGTTAGGATTTAGGTTGTCAGTAAATCCAGGGTCAAGTTGGGTTTGCCAAGAAGAGACTGCCATAAGGAGATATTTCAAGAGCCAAGGTGAGGAGAAGAAAATGTTGGGGAAAGACAAAAACCAGGGAGAAAAATCCAAGGAGACATTTAACTTCAACTTCATCAGAGTTGACGAGAGGCCAGCAATGGGATAAAGGATTTAGCCATGGAGGTGGCTGGCAGCTGTGGCTGTCTTATCTCAGTGGATGGGGTGATAGAGGCAACAGGGCAGAAGCCAAGCTGTGAGGGATAGCAGGCACCAGCTGCAAGCCTTGCTGAAGAGGGTATGGTGGCTCTTCAGCAGCGGAGTCAGGCCAGTGTCCGTCCATGCTGCCTCTGTGCTATGCCCACTTGCTGCTCTGAGACCACAAAATACCTGACAAGAAGCAAGTACGGAGGGAAGGAGGTTCACTGTGACTTTAGTTTGAGGAGTTACAGTATGTCATGCAGTGGGGATGCGAGTCCTCTGGTGGCAGGAGGGAGAGCTAGGACAGGAAGAGGGACTAAGCTCCAAACCCTCAAAGTGTTTCCCACTAGAGAGCCACTTCCTCCACCTAGGCCCTGCCTACAGAAGGTTTCACACCCATCCAAAACAGAGCCACCATGAGGAGACAAAGTGTTCAGACACATGAGCCTATGGGAGACGTTTGACACCCAGATCACAGCACAACTGCCTTCTACCTGTTACTTAGTCCCTCTCTGTCTTCACATGGAGCTTCTGTGTTTCTGTATCCTGTTCTCTCTGCTTCTGCGTGACACCTAGGTTTTCCCTTCTCCATCGGAACATCTCTGAGAACACAGACCTCTCTGCCAGGACCTCCTCTGGGATATAAACCAGCCATCTTGTGGAGATGTACTCACATTAAATACTTGCTGGCTGACATCTGGTTAGGCACCATGCAACCACTGATGGTCGTTCGCTCTGTAGGAGAGCAAAAGAAATCTCCCCACTGGGTCAGATGAGTTTTTGCTGACTCTTCTGGTAGACTTGGGTAAATGCTAGTTCTACCTGTGTGGGTTTAGCCTCTCTGTCAGCAGTGTGAGGCAGTAGCTGTCAAGGCCAGGCTGTCTTTGCAAAATACTAGAGATTGTAAGCCCAAAGCCAGCCCCTGCACCCAAGTTCCTCATCTTCTGATGGTGTCATCCAGTTTCACACAATGACAGATCTGTCCCAAAGCTATTCTCTATATAAGCCGATCATCCCAGCTTTAAACATTACACTGTTCACTTCAAAAGTCATGATTAGGGGAACTAGGTCCTGATAAAACTCTGTACTACCTGCCCACTGACCAGTGGAGCCCTGTGCATTGCTGCAATGGGTCCTCTTAAGCAAGGCCCTTGACGGCCACACCCTCTCACAGGAGTATTTCTCTTCAATCTTTGAAGCTTGCCCAAGCTGTGCTGACAGTAACAAAAGGGATCTAGGAGCCAGTGCAGCCTCAGGTGTGACCATGGCCTTGGTGTCACCGCTCTCCGTGTCTGCTTCCTACTCCATCATCAGCGGGCCATGGCGGACATCTTAACACACATGATTTTTTTATGCTATGTACCAGTCCTGTGGAGGTGTCACAAAAGGTATTTCTGTCCAGATGAACACTATGCTGCCAGCAACAGACCATGTCTCCCTTGTCACCAAGAGCAGCTCTAAGTCATGAGACCCTGAGGACTGACTGGTTATTCAGGTGTCTCTGAGAGTTCTGGGACACTGAGAGTGACTAGTGGCATTCTGAGTTCTGCTCCTGTCTCTCTTCTGTAGACCCTAACTGGGCCAGTTTGAACTTGGGAGCCCTCATGTGTATCGAGTGCTCCGGGATCCACCGGAATCTCGGCACCCACCTCTCTCGGGTCAGATCGCTAGATCTGGATGACTGGCCCTTGGAGCTGATCAAGGTGATGTCCTCCATCGGGAATGAGCTGGCCAACAGCGTGTGGGAAGAGGGCAGCCAGGGACGGACAAAGCCCTCACTGGACTCTACCAGGTAGGAACGCACAGATGCTCCCTCCACCAGCAATTACACAGATGGGGTTGACCTCAGCAACAGCTGTAGCCATGGCCCTGACAACCTATGGAAATTGTGGTTGGCCTAGTCTAGAAACATCCATGTTTGAAATTGGTTTGGAGCAGACTGGATGATTCAAACTCCTTCATTTTTTTTTTATATTCATTTTTAGGCCTTGGGGATTCCTCTCCCCTCTTAGAAATGTATTAGGCTTCTAATCTTATGAATATATTACTTTAATTAATATATTTTTAATAGGCACAGACTGTGCTAACACTAATTATAAATTTTTGATTCTTTGGTTTTGTATTCTTTTTTATGCCCTTGGTAAGCATATTGTGGGTATCCAACCCTCTCACGTACCCCTGTCAACAAGTGTGTTTATGGTAAGAGAATGCATTTTATTTTCTAAAACAGACTTCTAGCACATCTAATGGCGTGCAGTTAAGCTTGATGTTGATGCTGACTCGTGAATGCTAATTCTTACTCAGGATAAAAACGCATTTATTTTGAGGCCATTTAATTTCTCATTTTTCATTTACAGCGATTATAAACCATTTTTGAGAATATGCATACATATTTAATTACCCCAAGAAGTGCCTGAAAAAGCCCAATTTCAAAGAAACTGAAGTAGCACAGGGGGTCAGCTCATCTCTGGTTGGTCTAACCAAGGTTCTCAGGTACTGGGTGTGTGCCTCACCCCCCACCCCCACCCCCACCAGCAGGCTCGAGGTGAGGCCCACTTCTGCTGTGCTTCTCAGGAAAACAGGAGGAAGAGGCTCTTGCTGTGCTCAGCAGCTGACGTTTGTCTGGTTTTTTTTTTTTGCCAGTGATGACAGCCTAAGCTGCTGTAAACTGGTGGGTGCTTAAGCTACATGTCTAAGTTTCCCAGACAGCGATGTCCTGAGACCTGCTTGGCTGAGTCTATTTTACCAACCCTGCAAAATAAATGTGTGGCGCCCCCTCTGGTGCACATCAGGAGAGAAGCTGGTGTGCCTTTAACCCTGCTCTTCTGTTGACCGTGATGGGAGAGGGAACTGGAAGGGAGGGCCAGCAAGGTGCACAAAGTCTGCTTGTTAAAACCCCATAGGCTCACCATGACAACTCACCAATGCGTGGTTCGTCTGTGTGGTACAGATAAGGCGTGGTTTTCTTACAAATCAAAGGTATCCTGCCCTTCGAAAAACTGTTGTCCTTCCTGTTTAACACTCACGTGGGAGCCAGCGGAACTCTTCACTCCAAACAATTGTAAAACATTAATTTCCTTTGTGGTACCTGTTTTGTTCATAGTGTGATTAAATGTCACTTAAAAGAAAATCAAAAAATGCTTGGAAGTTAAATTGTTCAATGTAGGAAGAAAAGCATTGAAATGAGCTAGAAAAAAATTAATTTTACTCACCTGACAATTTAGGTTCTAACAAAACATATAGACTGTGTTTAATGCCATCCATGAATTAGAAATGTTGGCTCCTCTTCTAGAGTCTACAACAGTTAGACACCGTGTGTGATTGTCTTCAGGCGCTCAGCAGGAAATGAGTGACCACTCCATGGGCAGTGGACAGTTCTGACTGCTGTCTGCCCTGAACTTGGGGCTGTAGCTTTCTACTCTGCCCAGCACTGAATATGCCACCCTTGACTGCTTAGAGATGGGTGGGGGTCTTCCTCCTCACAAATAGGGTGGCTGCAGTTGAGCCTCTTACCTTTGGTCAAGCTGGCCCTTCTGAGTCAGGACTCCTCCCCAAGGCTGTGGTGACGTGGCACGATGCTGGGGCACCCCGAGAGGTGACTGGAATCTCTGACAACCGTGAGAGCTGGTGGCTTATTTGTGCCTTTGGTAAAATTGTTCCAGGAAAGTTTTTGTTTTGTTTCATTTTGGGTTGGTTTTTTTTTTGGGGGGGGGGGGTGTCTGGTAAAATTCAGTAAATATCACCAAACAGGGAGTGGGAAAGGACGAAAGGGACAGAATGAATAACGGATCAGGAGTGTCATGACAGTCATGACTGGTGAGCCCTGTTGGGACCAGCTGAAGACATTGGCTTTGGGAAGTGCACAGCATGGCTGGTTTCCAGGATAGAACCACCTAACTAAGGTTCCACCTGCAGTGTGCCACCTACAGGGCTGGGCCCTCCTCAGAACAAGAAGCAAGGATGGGTTTATTCTGGGAAGCCCTTGAGCCCAGAGTAGCCGACATCAGAAGGATTCGGGTAGGATACACAGTCTGTCTGTGGTTGACCACATTCCATCTGTTCATCATCCAGGAAAGGCTGAAGTCGGCAGCAGGGTAATTCAAAAAGACTAACCCAGAACCAGCCAAGGGCCACCTAGGTTCCCAGCTTAGAGACAGCATCATAAATGAGAAGTACTGCAGCCCATACATGGTACAGTAGCGATCTCACCACCTGCCACCTTCCCACCTCCTTCACTTCCCCCAAATAGGAGCAAAAGCCTGGAAATTTGGCTAGAATCAGTCCAGAATACACCCCAAGAGAGTAGACTCCTAGTCTGGGTACTGCCTGTCTAAGATGCCACCCACTATCCTACCTTCTCCCTAAGGATTCTGGGACAGTTAATAGAAGCATCACAGGGCTGAAGCTAATCCCAAAGAGAAATAGTTCTACAAATGTTGATGTTAGTTCATGAAAAAAAACAAACAAACAAGTGTGGCTCTTTTAAATGAGGGCTCAAATGTTTTCCCACTGCACTTGAGTCTGTTTCAAGATGATTCCGGAGATGCACCTGACTGTAGAATGTAATATAAACTGTGCTGCACACATACACACAGACAGACAGACAGACAGACACCCCAACACACATACATATATACATATACACATATCCTAACATATACATACACACCCCAACACACATACACACACACACACATGTGCCTAGACATGCTTACATAAGTGCACACACACTGTGTGCAGGCATACACACATAGCACTGTGGATAAAGAGTATGCACGATCTTTTTGCAAAGAAAAAGCGTCACCTGAAAGAACCATGCATTGGCATTAACCAGGGCTACAGGCAGGTTGGGAGAGCAGGCGCCTGGCACAGCTGGCTGGCCTTCTGCCTGCTGTCCCCACACCCCTATTAGGCCAGCTCTGGATAGCCTATAATTGGTTCCAGCGATCCTCAGCCGCCCTGAGAACTGCCGTTCAAACTTGAGCAGCATCGTGATCAATCAGAGCTGACGACAGCTGAAGCAGTATTGACTTCCCATTCCTAAACAGGGGGATCATTAGTCAAGGAAAGCATCTTTTAATTACTCCCAGGAAGGAGAAAAAAAATCTTTTTGGATGGATTTTGCAACAGCTGCCATTTTTTTCTGGTGCATTCGATATTAAATTTATTGTCGCAGGAGGGGAGAAGATACCCTCCACCCTTCTGTAATGGGGGTTTGATTTGGAGAAAGAATCATGGTAGAGTGGAGATCGATGTGTGGCGACAATTAACTATATCTGGGCTAGAGTCAGAACAACCCCTCACCCCGTTATTGATACCATTTAAGCACACACTTAAAATATTGATTGTGAGTGGGGGCGTTGGTGGCTGTAGTGGCAGCAACAGGGGGCAGAATTATCTGGAATTGAGACTAGGAATGGGGGTGCCGCATGACCCTCAGTGGGCATGTTTGTGAGTCAAGCTGTGTTGTAGACAGTTGGGCCAGTTGAGTCTGGAGCCACCAGGTGCTCAGGGCTCTAGGTTCCAATGTGAAGAGACTAATTGGCTGTCACTGGAGGGAGTGCTGAGATCATTGGTGACCCTTTGAGATGAAGAAAAAAAAGGCCACATTATGGTAAAGGCATTATGAGTCAAGTGACTGCTTATGCCATGCACAGAACACAGCGTGGTGGGTGACCTGGCACCTGTTCCCTCCCATGGGTACGATGAAGCTTGAGAGTCTATAGCACAGCAAAGCAGACCCCTGCGACACCTGTCCTCATGGCTGTTCCCTGGACCAGTCTGCACTGTGCTGACCTGCCCCACTTCACTGCCGTGCCCCCTTTCACATTGAAGCTTGGGTGGAGGTGGTTCTCCTACCAAACAAGGCAGAGCCCACAGGCAGAAGCCGGGGGCTTGGTGGTGGTGTTGCTGTTCCCACTCTGCTCCCTATCTTTGTCTCCCTGATGGCATCTGGCCTGGGAGGGTCAGCAGGGACCATGCTATTTGCATTTTAGTGCAGGTAGCCTCCTGTTTACATGGTGCTTGGCACCTGCTAGCTTGGGCTGGGAAATCAAAGGAAGTTGGAATGCCAAACTGTGTTTTCAGTTCCAGGAACAGCTCATGAGAGAAACTCCGAGCACAGCCGAAATCACCCATTACCACTTTGATGCCTCTTGGAAGGGACCGTTGGCCTGTTTAGTACACATTCTCTAAGCATCCTCCCCCACCCCTCCTTCATTATACATAACTCCGTCTCCCTGCCTAAACCCTCTTCTGTCTTTAACCTATAAACGTAGCCATCGATAGAAGATCAGGGCCCACATCAGAAACCTGCGTGGGAGAAGACTGGCCACACACTTCCAGACTCAACCAGTCCGCTCGGCAAGGGGAGTACCACTTCCCTTTGATTCTGCAGGGCCACTTTCATCTTATTTATGCACACGGAGATATTGATAAAGTGGAAATGTATCCAAACTGAAAATAATTGGATCCCTGCAGCTGACTCCGAGATATTAAAAGCAGCCCCACTTGGCCACGTCTTTGTCTTGTTAGGTTTGATCATAGGATCACAATATAGTAATCTCGGGCTCAAATTTCTGGCATAAAGATGCGCTGTTCTAAATGTGGCCTCGGGGACATGAGTGCCCACGCGGCCCCGGATTGTCTCGTCTGATTATTTCTCAACAGTTCTTGGCCTGCTGAGGTCAATGTTTTGTGTCTTTTGAGTGTTCGTCTATGCTGGACACTTTTCTCTATTCTCTTTCTTAAAAAAAAAAAAAAAAAAAGAAAACTGAGGTTGGGGTTGGGGGC